CGGCCCCACCCTTCGCTGTCCAGGTGGCCGATGGCCTCGCTCCCCGTTGTCTTGCCCCAGGGCCCCTTCGAGATGCCCGAGTGCGAGGCCTCGGCCGAAGCCCTGAACCCGCGCCAGGTCCTCTACCGCTTCTGGGCCCGGTGGGGCTGCTGGTGCCGGTACCAGCCCCTGGACCACGTCCGCGAGTACTTCGGGGAGAAAATCGCCATCTACTTCGCCTGGCTGGGTGAGCGCTCGGCCCCCGGCCGGCACAGAGCCTGGGATGGGAGCCAAGGGGATTGTTCGAGGCCTCGGCCGAAGCCCTGAACCCGCGCCAGGTCCTCTACCGCTTCTGGGCCCGGTGGGGCTGCTGGTGCCGGTACCAGCCCCTGGACCACGTCCGCGAGTACTTCGGGGAGAAAATCGCCATCTACTTCGCCTGGCTGGGTGAGCGCTCGGCCCCCGGCCGGCACAGAGCCTGGGATGGGAGCCAAGGGGATTGTTCCCGGAGCCTGCTGGACACAGACAGCCCCAGGGCTTCCCCCGGCTGCCCGCGGGCACCGCCCGGGGCTCTCGGCACCCTGGCCTGGCTGCCTGGCTGGTGTGGAAAGAGCCGTGGGGCAGGACCATGTGGGCTGTTCTCCTGGCTCCCCCCCTTGGCGCTGCTGCTCAGTACCAGTGCGCTGCCCCAGCCCCCTGCCATCCTGCTTCGGGGGGCACTGATGGGCGCGGGTTGGGAGAGCGGGTCTGCAAGAGCCATAGTCCTGCCCCCGCTCTGCCAGGTGGGGGAGGGGGATCATTGTCTGCATTGTGCAGCTGGAGAAACTGAGGCACGGGTGGGGGAGGGACTTGCCCCAAGCCCACAGGGAGTCAGTCCCTGAAGAAGCTTGGTGCACCACCCTCAGTGGGGCGGGGAAGGAGGGGGGGTCTCACGTGCCCCGTGGGCTGGTCTCACGTGCCCGTCCCCTCTGCAGGGTTCTACACAGCCTGGCTGCTCCCCGCCGCGGCCGTGGGCACCGTGGTCTTCCTGGCAGGCTTGGTTACCATGGGAACCAACACACCAGCGCGAGTCTGTGGGGCCGGGGTTGGG